CATGACAATGTTAATGTATTTGGTCTTGGCGGAATAGATCTGCTACGCTGCTGCTGCTGCGGCAGAGCAAGTACAGAGACTTGCTACTGCCAATACATCCACAACATGCTGCTGTGAGCATGTAAGAAATATTGCTGCTGCAAATATAACATAAATGAAATAACCCCCATATAGCATACATGAATCACCTCGTAGCAGATCTATACAGGTGGAGCTGGGGAAGGTGGAGGGTTTCTGAAGCAAGCTGCACTGCTACGGCAAGCACTAGTCATATATTTGAATGTTGAGCAGCGAGCTCATTGGCTACCGATACAGGAGAGAACCAATCAGCTGTGCCATGTGATAATGATGTCATTAGGTCAGATTGAGTTAGACCTATTGGACTGCGCCATCTAGAGTTTCATGCCAGAACTGTGTATTTATGTCTTTTTTATTGTGATGTGATCTCAAATGTTGTTTATTATTGTTTCATCACCTTAAAATCATTTTAAACATTTTGTGGAATGTAGTTTTTTATTATAAATTATACTTGTTTTGATATACTGTATAGTTAAATAATGCAATGACATTTCATTTAAGTGATTTAAACTTCCATTCAAAAGTTTGAGGTCAGTAAGATTTTATTTTTTAACCAATTAATATTTCTATTCAGGAGGGATGCAATGTATAGATCAAAAATTACAGTAAAAACTTTAATGTGGCAAATGATTTATGTTTTAAATAAATACTGTTCGTTTGAACTTTTTATTCATTAAAGAATTGTCACAGTTTCCACAAAAATATTAAGCAGCAAAACCGTTTTCAACATTGGTAATAATCAGAAATGTTTCTTGAGCATCAAATCAGCCTATTAGAATGATTTCTGAAGGATCATGTGACACTGAAGACTGAAGTAATGATGATGAAAATTCAGCTTTGACATCACTGGAATAAATAACATTTATTCAAATTATTTCAATTAATTTTTCACAATGTTAATGTTTTTACTGTACTTTTGACCAAATAAATGAAGCCTTGAACAGCCAAAAACACTAAAAATCCCCAAACCCCAAATTTTTGAACAGTAATGTGTCCAAAATCTTACTAGTATTTTGGGTGTATACTTACATTATTCCAGTCATTTAAAAATAAGGAACTGAATCTTTCTTATCTGAATAAAAACACATCAGTTTAGCTTAAATAAGCTTCATCATGGAGGTCCGTATCTTACCGTTCCCTCTGAACTTGCTGAGGTTAACTAGCCGAGGTCTCTGTGGTTTGGCGGGACACTTTCCTAAAACAAACAAACTGAGAAGAGGCTTCTTTTTCGGCACTGACAAATCACCAGTAGTGGTTTCCGGTGCTGTAGAGATCTTTTCATGAAGAAGGGGTTTCTGTTTGGCAGGACTCTGGGATCCAGCTCCAGTGGGGGCTTGTGTATAAGCATTCTCCTGTGTCCCTCTATTGGGCAGCTTCCCTCCAACAGCATCACTTCTTGAGTCACTATTGGCCTTGTTGTTAGAAACTGGAGGATTGAATCTAGTCTCCATAGAGTTAACCGTGAAGTTGGGTTTGACCATGAGAGGTTTAGGCAAAGGCTTGGAGCCTGCACCTTTATTCATGTCCACAGGTTTGAGTTTCCCCGTCTTGGGGATCAAAACTGGATTCCTGGCGCTGCCGAATTGATTGTTCCGAGCAGGTTGGGAAAACGGACTTTCACCAGCCAGTGAATTAAAATGAGACATCAGGGATTGTACATTAGTGAAATTGGCCTAAATATGTCAAACATAAATATTAGTAACACTTTACAAAAAGGTCTCATTGCTAACACCAGTCAATATAGTTTTACAGCATCATTAACCTTTGTTAAAGGGGTCATATGATGCGATTTCAAGTTTTCCTTTCTCTTTGGAGTGTTACAAGCGGTTCGTGAATAGATAAGATCCCTAAAGTTGCCAAGACTAAAGTCTCGAACCCAAAGAGATATTCTTTATAAAATGTAAGACTCGTCCACGCCCTCCTAAAATGCCTCATTTAAACACGCCCCCACATGTTTACGTCACTGTGTGGGAAGATTTGCATAACACCGCCCAAATGTTTACACAAAGAAAGAAGGCGTAACAACTAGTATTGTATTGTACTAGTATTGTTGCCGTGACGCTGTGTGTTTCGTTGTGAAAGCAAAACTACTTTGTTTGGCCTTCCAAAAGAGGACACAACTAGAAATCAGTGGTTAAGTTGTATTTACAGCACTGTTCCAGAACAGTTCAACCAAATATTCAGATGTGTGCAACGCATTTTACAGAGGACGAGGACTGTTTCCTGGGAGAGTAGCCTACAATGCCGGTGTTCCGGTGAATTCAGTTCCCCTGTTTCCCCTTCGGCGCGCATGCTGACCCTATACAGTCTATGATGCTGACAAATAATGCTACACAGTCTGTAAGTACATTTTCATATTTAAAGAATTTGCCACTGATGATTCAAACCCGAGTTTTGAGCAGTGTAGAGTAGCTCTTGTTGTTTGTTGTTTCTCAAATGCAGACATGGGTTTATGTTTATGTGGCGCGATGCAACTCAACACGTAAAAAGACAGTACAAGTAATTATAATCAGTAATTATGTTCCCACTGGATGCAACAAATGCCTCGTTTATAATGGGTTTTATTGGTTTTGTCTCGTCGCGCTGGGACACGGCATCACAGTATGGTAGGGGCGTAACATTTCCGTCACACGCTTGAGGAATTTGGCCAATCACAACACACTGGATAGCTGGCCAATCAGAGCACACCTCGCTTTTCAGACCGATGAGCTTTGTAAAAATCAACGCGTTTCAGAAAGGCGGGGCATAGAGGAGCAACAATAATGTACAGTATGTGGAAATTAATGTTTTTTGAACCTTAAACCGCATAAACACATTTCATTACACCAAATACACAAAATAATGTTACTTTTTAGCAACGTCATATGACCCTTTTAATGTTAACGAAAATACAATCGTACCGTGTTCATGTTAGTTCACGGTGAATGAACTAATGGTAACGGATACAATTTTGGTTTTAAATATGCCGAAAAGGATTTAGTGTAGAAACAATTTTAACTCAGAAATCGCTAGTAAATTTCACAAATAATTACGAGGAAATGGCAAATAACACTTTGAATTAAACACAAAATTTTAAAGTAGAAAGACTGCAATATTTTTCTAGTAAAATGTACTCTAATAATCATTGTTTTATTTACAACTTTAAAAAATATAAATTAATCCTTTAACACTAGGTACTACATAACTTAGTAACTCATCCCACATTTGAAGCCACATGTCAATGACAAATCAATGTCAAATCATGTGTCTTGTGGAGGAGACGTATGCTATGACTTAAATATGCAATTAGACTTGTAGGGTGGGCAATAAAATGGAGCAAAATAATCACATAAACTTACAGTAATTGAGGGGCCTATGGAAACCTGATTCTGTTTCAAAACAAACTATAATTTTAGGTAAAACAAAAAAAGTAATTTTGAGATTAGTTTAAAATATAAAATTGCAATTGTGATATAGTCAAAAAAATCACAACTACAAGAAAAAAAAAGAAAAAGTCTCAGTTGTAAGAAGACCATGACCAGTTGCATAAACTGCAGACAGTAATTCTTATAAAAGAATTTTTTTTAGTGTGAAGAACATTCAAAAAATGCAAAGAACCTTTTTCCTATATACTGAACCTTTTGTGAAATGTAAAGGTTCCATGGATGTTAAAAGTTCTTCATGGAACTTCCAAAGATGACAATAAAGAACTTTTATTTTTAAGAGTGTAGCCACTCTGAACACAACCAAACATAAAATCCTAGCACTGTGATAGCAAGTTTTGCACAGCCAACACAAAATGTAAAAAAATTACTATATTTATTAAATACAATCACTAATATTATAATTAATGCAGCAATATACAAACCCCTCTTAAGCAGGCTACTGATAAAAACATGTTGGATATTTTAAAAAGCTGTGAAACTGTGTATGTTCACACCTTTAGGGTTCTGCCTTTACACTAGTCACTCTTTATGTTCACAAGCATGAAAAACATTGAGAATTTTTATACTGCCATCTGCTTCTTCAAAATGCAGCTATATGATCGATATTATATTGCATTCTTATCAATCACATCATACAATTATCAATCCTAATAAGAAAATCCACAAGCATCACATCACTATTCCTATCGTTGCATCTGCTAACTCAAGTTCAATCAAGATAATCAAGAACTAAATCATCAACAGCAAACTGAAAAATCATAATAAAAGACACTCATTTAAATAAATCAGCAAAATTTGCCTGCAAACTCACCCAGCCAGCACATACATGTGCGTGCAAGAGTACAGTGACCAGTGACAGTGGTGAGAATCACAAATACACCCAGAGGAAATGCATGTTTCCATTACTTTAATAAGGAAGAGGTGTAACCAGGGTTTCACCATTGAGCATCACGACCCTGATCTGGGGTCAGGTTTAACATCAGCTCAAAACCACTCTTATTCTTTGGACTTTCAGAGCGAGAAACAACACATACTCTGCTCAGGTGGTCAAATGCCATGAATAATAATAATATCTGTGGCGTTTAGTTGAGCAGCATATGAAGGTCAATTTTCTAATTCAGAACGCCACAAAAGTGTTTCACCAATAGCAATGTTAAAGCAAACGAACAGACTCACCATAATGATGATGGCATGCGCTGGAACTACTATCACTAGGTTATTGCGGTTGAAAGAATGGGAAAACTGATGACTAAAACTTTCACCACAACTTTTTTCTTCCTCCTAAATGGCATAAATGTTTGAGCAAAACACATTTATTTGAATCAATGAGTGAAAAATAATCTGATATGACTTTGCATTGTATGTTGTTAAACAAAATGCCATTTAACTGTGATAAGAAAGAAGAAAGACATATGTGTGTTTGTATGAAAGCCAGTCATAATGGAAACAAGGACAATTAACCACTGACCTTAAGGGGAGAATCTTTCAAAAATATAGGTTTTTACCGCAAAATCAAGAGAATATTACAAAATATAAATCATATTATAAAATTATTCTATAAATTAGATTATAATTATAAATTATATTACTATATCATTATAAATCATATTTTGCTAGTAAATTAAGCCTGCTCTATCCTGTTTATTTTACAATTATTCTCAAAAGTGATAAAGGCAGCACAAAAATACTACCATTATGTGTATATGTATAACTTTGATGAAAGGTTTTGATCCACTTCAAATGTTGACTATTGTATATATATATTTATACAGTGGTGTGAAAAAGTGTTGGCCCCCTTCCTGATTTCTTATTTTTTTACATGTTTGTCACACTTTACGTTATCGCAAACGCTTGATCGCACTTGTTGCTGCTATAAATAACCAGACGCCACCCGATCTAAATATTCCCGCACAGTTTAATAGTAATGACTTTATGAATTTCTTCACTGATAAAATAGATAACATCAGAAATACAATAACAAATGTAGATTCTACAGCGTATAATACTTTAGCTTCATTCATCGCACCAAAAGATAAACTGCAGTGCTTTACAACTATAGGACAGGAAGAGCTAAATAAACTTATCACTGCATCAGAAGCTGCAACATAGAAGCATTCCTTCATTATAAATGTATGGAAGCTTGTTTCCCACCACAGGATGAAAATTTTTTTGAATTTGAAGTCAAAACTGTGAAAGAGCAACTCAACGTTGAGATATAAACGTAAAATTCGGAGAAAAAGTCAGAATTGTGAGATGTAAACCCTCAGTTGCAAGAATAAAGTCAAGTCAGCATTGTGATAAAGTCACAATTACTTTTTTTTTTTTTTTTAACTGTGGCGGGTCACAGGGGTCATATGATGCGATTTCAAGTTTTCCTTTCTCTTTGGAGTGTTACAAGCTATTGGTGCATAAAGAAGATCTGTAAAGTTGCAAAGACTAAAGTCTCAAATCAAAAGAGCTATTCTTTATAAAAGTTAAGACTCGTCCACGCCCTCCTAAAACGCCTCGTTTAAACACGCCCCCACATGTCTATGTCACTGTGTGGGAAGATTTGCATAACACCGCCCAAATGTTCACGTAAAGAAAGAAGCCGTAACTTTTATTCTCGCTGTAGTATTGTTGCCGCCGCAATGTCGTGGAGATGCTGTTTCATTGCAAAAGCGAAACTACTTTGTTTGGCCTTCCAAAAGAGGACACAACTAGAAATCAGAGGTTAAGTTGTATTTACAACACTGTTCCAGAACAGTTCAAACTAAATATTTGTGTGTGTGTGCGCAACCACAAATGCAGACATGGTTTTACGTTTACGTGGCGCGATGCAATGCAATGTGTAAAAACACAGTATAAGTCATTATAATCAGTAATTATGTCCCCACTGGATGCAAAAAATGCCTCATTTATAATGGGTTTTATTGGTTTTGTCTCGTTGCGCCGGGACACGATCCGTGAAATGTTGGTGATGAGAAAAGTTCTGTAAATCACAGTGGTGGATGAATCTGTATAAACTCTCAAAACCTGTTCTGAGCTTTTCCTCCAAACTCATACACTTTACATACATGGAAACTTTATTCCTGCATTCCAAAAACCAAACAGACTATAAAGTCAGGGTTCCTTTTTCTTCAAACATATGCATAAATTGAAAATCTAAAAAGGTTTGAGGAGAATCTGATAAAGGAAGAACAGAAGAAATTGTATTTTCTTAAAACGTTTTTTGTCTTTCTCCCTGTGCTCTTCGACTCTACATGGCAAAGCATTGAGGAGTAAAATGCAAAACCCAGTTTCTCCTACATTTAGTTGGATATTGAGCAGTTAGTTCTCAAACAAGCCACACTTAAACTTGATGATGCTACTCTTCGGCTCATATTAAAATCTCACTGCAAACTTTTTTGGTGGATTTTTGACAAATCAGAACACGCATAAAATAAACCTCACAAACCAAAGGCAACTTGATTGCCTGACGGACTTGCCAATTATGCTGCATTACAACTAAACAGTAATCCCAGCCATTAAAACCAGTGACATTGTAGCCAAGAAGTGCTTGTTGAGAAATCAAACGAAAATCAACCGAAACGTTCTTGGTTTTGCCACTCCGAAACATTCCAGCTGGTCGGGTGTGGTGTCAACATGACCATCTCACAGTCTCTCATTTCTTTCTTCTTGCGTCCGACTCCATGCAAAACCTCTCAAACGCCTCCTCGATCTCCGGATCCATTTCATCTTCATCACCGCAGAAGCTGCAACATAGAAGCATTCCTTCATTATAAATGTATGGAAGCTTGTTTCCCACCACAGGATGAAAATTTTTTTGAATTTGAAGTCAAAACTGTGAAAGAGCAACTCAACGTTGAGATATAAACGTAAAATTCGGAGAAAAAGTCAGAATTGTGAGATGTAAACCCTCAGTTGCAAGAATAAAGTCAAGTCAGCATTGTGATAAAGTCACAATTACTTTTTTTTTTATTTTTTTTTTTAACTGTGGCGGGTCACAGGGGTCATATGATGCGATTTCAAGTTTTCCTTTCTCTTTGGAGTGTTACAAGCTGTTCGTGAATAGAGAATATCCCTAAAGTTGCAAAGACTAAAGTCTCATACCCAAAGAGATATTCTTTATAAAAGTTAAGACTCGTCCACGCCCTCCTAAAACGCCTCGTTTAAACACGCCCCCACATGTCTATGTCACTGTGTGGGAAGATTTGCATAACACCGCCCAAATGTTCACGTAAAGAAAGAAGCCGTAACTTTTATTCTCGCTGTAGTATTGTTGCCGCCGCAATGTCGTGGAGATGCTGTTTCATTGCAAAAGCGAAACTACTTTGTTTGGCCTTCCAAAAGAGGACACAACTAGAAATCAGAGGTTAAGTTGTATTTACAACACTGTTCCAGAACAGTTCAAACTAAATATTTGTGTGTGTGTGCGCAACGCAATTTACAGAGGACTGTTTCCTGATCCTGGTAGAGTAGACTACAATGCCGTCTGTTCTGACTCACAGCCTGTAAGTATGTTTTCATATTTAAAGAATTTGCCACTGTCGATTCAAACGTGAGTTTTGTGTAGAGTAGCGCTTGTTGTCGTTTCTCTGATCACAAATGCAGACATGGTTTTACGTTTACGTGGCGCGATGCAATGCAATGTGTAAAAACACAGTATAAGTCATTATAATCAGTAATTATGTCCCCACTGGATGCAAAAAATGCCTCATTTATAATGGGTTTTATTGGTTTTGTCTCGTTGCGCCGGGACACGGCATCACAGTATGGTAGGGGTATAACATTTCCGTCACACGCTTGAGGAATTCGGCCAATCACAATGCACTAGACAGCTGGCCAATCAGAGCACACCTCGCTTTTCAGACCGATGAGCTTTGTAAAAATTGACATGTTTCAGAAAGGCGGGGCATAGAAGAGAAACAATAATGTACAGTATGTGGAAATAATGTTTTTTGAACCTTAAACCGCATAAACATTTCATTACACCAAATAATGTTCTTTTTTAACAATGTCATATGACCCCTTTAAAACTCATCACATGAATTACAGTCTCCCCCTGTTGGCTGGTCTTTGTTAACTGCTCATGGCCCATCCAATGGGCTGAAGACTATGCTGAATAAGACTGGCAGGTCTTGCTAAGCCCCCCTTCTCTCCCTGGACTGCTGACTTCACTAAAATGTGCTCTTTGATTCCCCCCAGCATCATTGTGAGGACGACAATTGCTGGAGTATGAGCAGAGGGGACGGTCACACCAGGGTTATTAGAGTTAACTAAAACCATAAATAACACTGTTACTTGAAATAAAATAAATTTGAACTGGCAAAAAAAATAAAAAAAAATAACATTTTTCATTTAGTTGACATACTAAAATAATTGAAACTAAACTAAAAATGAATGAAAACTACATAGCTATAATTAAAAATCACAACAGAATTATTAAAACTTTAAATACAATTAATTCAAAATAGTAATTAAAAACTATATAGTAGTATCTCAATATATAATAGAGTTACTTGAAATAAAATAAATTTGAACTGGCAAAAAAAATAAAAAAAAAATAACATTTTTCATTTAGTTGACATACTAAAATAATTGAAACTAAACTAAAAATGAATGAAAACTACATAGCTATAATTAAAAATCACAACAGAATTATTAAAACTTTAAATACAATTAATTCAAAATAGTAATTAAAAACTATATAGTAGTATCTCAATATATAATAGTATCTAAACAAATATTTAGTTTTTTGGATATTCTTACGAATACTTACGAATCATTTTCATTCTCTTCATATGCATCAGGGAAGTAGTCTTCTCTGTCTAGAATCTCCTGGTATTTGTCTGAGTATTCTGTGGTGGAAAAAAAACAGAGGACCGATAAGCAGAGTAGTAGATTAGTAATAAATACAGTAATAATTCATATTAAAAATAAATAAATAAATATTCCTGACATGTTATGATAATGAGAATCTGGAATAAAAATAATTAATAAATAAATAAATTTAAATATACTTAATTTTATGAAAATAAATAAAGATTAATGCAAGTCTTAACAGTCTTAAAACATGCTTGCTTTCTTTCTTTCCCCTTTAAAATGTCGTTTCTGATTTTCTTTTGATTTTGAACCCGATCATGGTTTTGTGACACTGGCCCGCTTAATAAAACACAAGGAAGTCTGTATGTGGGTCACAGCAGACTGAAGACGCTGCCGATACTCACCAGGATCCGCTGCTGTGAAAGGCGTCCCATCTGTTGTGTAGAAGGTTGGTTCATTCTGAGGAGCAAAACCATGACAGAAACCCATTAAAAGAGGCTACAAAACATTAATACAGTCACAGATTACATATTTTACTTCAAACCTGATTAAATACATTTAATTTCTTTGGCATTGCGCACCATAAAGTAGTTGGGGTCGTTGTCAGGTGTAGCGTCACTGCTCACAGCGGCTGTGTGAACTCGACCCCAGTTACTGGACTGCAACTCCAACAGTTTCAACAGCATCTGCCTGGCGTCTCTACAAACGCACACATACAGGAAACATCAATAAACACAGATAAAGTGCATATCAATAATGCAACTTTACAGCTCAACAATCTAAGACATGGTTACACTGACAGTGATACTCAGCAACAAAGAAGCAAATGGAAGCGAACGATTTCCAGTGTCATGAGTAGACTTGTACCGGTATTCGGTAATGCGATATGTCACGGTAATGAATATGCACGATATTGTTATCGTGGGCACTTCTAAATACCTTGAATAATTATATATTACAAATTATTCAGAATTTTGAATGCATTTTAAGAATACTTTTCCCATCAACTGGTCAAAATGCACAACACCGCTGTATGCTGCGTGAAAGACGCATGCGCACTCTGATGTAAACAAGCGCGGACGAGAAGCGCACGGCGGAACATGTGAGAGACGCTCTAGATGAAAGCGGATGACAGCAGATGGTGCTAAACTGCAGAAATAATAATAATAATTCATTTAAATGCAGCCGTTACCCCAGAAACCCTGTAAATAAAGCAGCTGCACTACTTTCTGTTTCTGAATCGTGTTTAAATGATTTAAACAGCCATTCAGATTTGTGTATTTGCTATGATGTTCATAACAGCGCCAAATACTTAAATATTTAGACTTAATAGGCTATATATTTTCAAACTTTTTAACATTTTAATCTGCACTTCAACATGCCCTAGATATTGTTTGAAAGTGTTTTGATTCTTTATTGTTCGGTCACACTTTACATTAGGGCTTCATTAGTTAATTCATTAGTTAACAAACTGCCAATGCAAAATTCTTCTGAAAATTCATTAATCTTAGGTATTCCAATATTTAATAACAGGTTGTTAAAATCAAAAGTTGCAACTGTGTTATTTAATGAGCTAACATGAACAAAGACTTGCATTTTTTAAACAAAGATGAATAACTTCTGTAGCAAATGTAGATATTGCTCATTGTGAATGTTAATGCATTAACTAAGGTTAACTAATGAGGTCTTATTATAAAGTGATACCTATTTGCACTTTAATCTGTGTATAACTTTTAACTTTATACATTTTTCTGTATTGCATTTAAATGTATTTTTGTTATAAGAAAAAAGTTATTAAACCTGTTATACTGTATTATGACAGCACTTTTTTTAAAACTAAATTTCAATATCGTGATAATACCGTATACCGTGATAAAAGCATTAGCAATTAATAGCAACATGAGATACCGGCATATCCCTAGTCATGAGCAAAAACAAATATTGGCGATGCAACTCAGCTTTATGCAAAAGTACAATGATAAACAGTAGGAGTGCAAACAGTGCTCAATACTACATTACATATATACCAGTGCATTTCAGAATCACTGAAATACTATTATAGTTTTATTGACATTTTTAAATGAGGTTTTTTTATTATATTTTGTTTTAATATTCATTTCACATTTTAGCTTTTTTGTTTTGTTTTGCTACAAATTATTTTGATGTGTTTTGCCATTTTTGGTATAGTTTTAGTTATTTATAATTACCTTGATATACTGCATCCTAAACATTTCCAAAAACAATCAATCGTTATTGAACCGTTGCCTGACTCACTCACCGGCTGCATTTGGCATCTAAACAAATGTCTTCAATCTTCTTGATTACCTCATCCATGTCTGACTGGCCTTTCTCCTTCCACGTGTCATCCAGAATGGAACCACTCAGCTTGTCAAATCAGTAAAACAATGCTAGTCAACATCAACAGTGCAGTACTGCATTCTTATCTGCAGATTAATTACTTATTTCGTTTCAGTGCTTTGAGTTGCCTGGCGATTTCAAAGTCTTTGTTTATGTCAGGATTACTGTCACTAATGATCTTAAGTTGAGTCCTGAGGTCACTTGATAACTCCTACAGACTTGCTCTGACATTTGCTCTGAAACAGTACCATTTAGTGTATTTGCAGTGTGTAAGAAGAGGAATACTTCAAACCTTGAGTAATTTGACAGCACACATTAGGTTGGGGTCATCTGGGTGAGAGAATAATGCGTTCAAAAGATCCTTTAGCGCTCCCAGTAAGACATTAGCTCGCCCGGGTGTGTCCTTTCCACTTTTTATCTGAAAGATAATTGAAAGAATGAAGAATTGTAGTAGCTCATATTCTTTGAAACAATAAATATACAGCTCTGACATTTGAATTCAAGCAGATACATATGTTAGGATTTATACACTAGATTATACAAAGGAATAGATATACAGGGTTCAGACTTTAGCATTACATAATTTGCTCAGACGTAGCAGGTCAAGCTCTGCTGTTGGGTTTATTTTGTAATGATGACTGGCTGACAATATATGTTATTATAAATTCACTCAAAAAAAAAAAAAAATCTAAAACAAATCATTTTTGTTAATTTAAATAAATCTGAAATAAAAGGATAACTAATTAAATAAATCATTTTGACTTGGCAACTAACTGAAATAAGTTGAAGCACTAAAATGACTAATTTGGAAATAAATAAAAAACTAAAACTTATAATAAATGAACATAAACGAAATCTAAAAAGCAACAAAACTACAAATTAAAAAAATGAACTAAAATTAAAACTGAAAATATCAAAACCGTAATATATAAATACTGTACATTACTTAGCTCATCAGACAGCTTTACAAAATAAATAAATACAGTATTAGATGGATATAATAAATATTGATTTATATTGGTTATTAGACTGTATTGGCACTGGTAGTGAACTGACCTCCAGGTTAAGGTAAAGCTCCCCCAGAAACAGCACATAAGAGTGAAACCTTTTCTGGGTGCCTGGATCTCCTCTCACGGCCTGCTCCCTCTGCTCATACTCGGTTCGACACCTACACAGAATGGAGTTAATGGATAAATGAAACTAACAAAAATTAGACTAAATTAAACTGAAAGTAAAGGCTAAAATGGAAAAGGGAAGAAACTGTTGACTTTAAGAACCAAATGTCAAGACACTTTTATGAAACACCCAGAAATGGGTACTTGAGCGTCATATTGCTAAACCTGAAATGTACCTCTGCAGCAGCAGCTGTCTGAAGTTACCGCTGGCTGGACTGAGACGGATGTGATGAGACAGATGGTTACAGAGCCGCGCTCCCGTGTAGGCGAAGTTAGGGATAGACGTGGACTGTGGAAAACAAATGTGGGACGATTTTCATTGCATTCATCTTAATAATAACTGCTTAATTTATTATGTTTTGATTAGGGTTGTGCAGACAACCAGATTAAAAATGGTACCAAAGTAATATTTTGCAAAGTTCAGTTCTGCTATTTGGTTTGAAAATCAATACAGCGCAGATGCATTGTTTGAAAATGAACCATTAATTGACCAATTATAACATTTACTTTTTAAAATAACAATACCCAAGCCGTTACAGAGGCTGTCTCAGGATACATGCATCCTTTTACAACAGACAATGAGCATGCAAAACTAAAAAAAAAATAGCCACAATTTATAATTAGAGTACAGTTCATGCTGCTGAATTCAGCTTTGTGTCGTCATTTATATTTCAGATATATATTGATCAGTAAATAAATAAACTTTATATATTCACATTTGTGTGTGTCCACTTGAATGAATGAATAAATAAATAGATGAATACATAATATTATTTAGAAATAAAATAATAATAAATGCATGAATATATAATATGGACAGCTATAAATAAATACAGGATCAGATGGCTATAAAATATTGACTTATATAGTAAATTATTAATTTATATTGATTATTAGACTGTGCAATAATCATAATTGTAGTAATAAGTGGAAAGAATCAAGTGTGATTTTTTCAAACATATTCTCAGTCTGTTCGCCGCAGGGCCCCCTCAAAGCGTGGGGCCCGATGTGACTGCACCAGTTGCACTACCCAAAGGACGGCCCTGGTTCCCACACAGATGCATTATTAGGGAGTCATCAGAAGCACACCTGTACGTAGATGAGCTCTACCAGCTCCTGCAGAATCTCCTCTGTGGTGACGCAGCTGTTCAGCGTATCTGTGATGTAATCGATTTCTGACTCCAAGGACCCTGGAGATAAGTTCAGATGGCTTACGAAATCCTGAATGAAATCAGCCAATGAGGGCTCGGGATAGTGTCCCTCAGAGTCATCGGAATACACATCATCCTAAAAAAAAAAAAAAAAAAAAAAAAAAAAATTAAAAAAAA